TTTTCACATAATGATTAAATAGATGATCTTTTTCTTTACTGCAGGATCGAGTTGTTTAACAAGTATATTATCAACCATTATATTCTTTAGTCTTTTCTTCATGATTTAAAGTCAGATTTACTTCCTTTTGTAAACATTTTGAGTGTTTGTAAAAACAGTCATGTTTTACAGACAAAGTAGCTCTAGTTAACCAAACTGATGATCAAGATTAACTTTACAATGACCAGACAATATATAAACACGTGGTTAATTTTTTTAAAGACTTTAAGTGTAGAAATTATATTATTTGATAGTTCTTCTAACGTATAAGTAGTAATTAAGATTCTATTATTATCTAATAGAATGATTTTTCTTATTGACAGTATTTGCAACTTTTACAACTTAATTAACTTCCAACTGTGAAACCGCAATTTGAAAACTATGCCTCTTAATACATAGTAATAAAATGAAAATTTTGAATTAGTTAAAGAATAGTAGATGTATTTTAAATAACATGATTACCTTCAATTCATCAATAAAACTTTTTCCCCAAAAAGAGACAGTATGTTTCATAACATATTGACGCAATTTTTGATAATTTGATTTACGTAATTTTGCTTCCATTGTAATTGCTTCATAAATAGCATTTGAAAATTCATCTGTGTTCCAAGGATTTACTAAAATAGAAGCTTTAAAAATGTTAAAGTTATATTAATATAAAATGTCAAAGCAAGAAGTATATGGGATTAATATTTACCATCCAAACATTGTGCAGCTCCTGCAAACTCACTAAGAATCAACACTCCTTGATTTTCGTATTGACATGAAATATATTGATAAGGTGAAACATTCATACCATCTCTTAATGATGAAACTATGAATACATCTGATACCGTATATAGTGCTAAAAATTCTTCGAAAGAAAGATTACGGTGCATGAAGTGAATTGGTGATAATTTAAGAGTACTGAACTTGCCATTAATTTTTCCAGCTAACTCATAAACAACATGACTTAAATTATTACGCTCCTCAGTATTCCATCGCGAAGACTTGACAACTTGAACAAGTACAACTTTACCGATCCATTCGGGATTTTTACTTAGGAATAAATCTAAAGCATGTAACTTTTGTGGAACACCTTTAATATAATCCAATTGATCTATGCTTAAAATAATTTTAATATCTTTAAATTTTTCTTTCAAATCTTTAATATGTTTTTGAACTTTTATTTCATTTAAGTTCTGTGATTTAGGTAAAATATGCAGAAAAACAATATTTAGAACACATGATTTTATCTATCTTTTATTATTCAGAGGAGAAGTAATAAGCAGGAAAAAATATCAGAAGATCTGACTACTCTTTCCATAATCTAAAAAATAACCAGATCTACATTATCGGATACGTATCACTTCACCGACGCTCATTTCGTAGACATAACATTTCACCGACAAAAATTCAGCGACAATTATTTCACCGACAAGTTTATTTCACCGACAAGTTTATTTCACCGACAGTTTATTTCACCGAAGCTCATTTCAAGTACAAGCTTTTTTTTATAAATCCCACCAACCTTAACTCTAATTCTAACCTGACCTTAACGACAATGACCAGAATTATTTTGTCGGTGAAATGAGCTTCGGTGAAATAAACTGTCGGTGAAATGAACTTGTCGGTGAAATATACTTGTCGGTGAAATAATTGTCGGTGAATAGTTGTCGGTGAAATGTTATTTCTACGAAAGAACCGTCGGTGAAGTGACCTGAACCGACATTATCATTTATAATCGATCATTTTCAACTCGCACCATATCAGTAGCTCACTGATCTTGGATATTAATAAATTAAACATACGTACTTCAATGAATCTTTCCGGATCAATGCCGATAGGAAATATACCAATATGCACATGCCTATCTTCATAGTAGACTCTATTAGGTTTAATTGACAAACCTAATATACTATGGCATGAAGACAGAAAGTGACGAGCATAATCATATGTCTGAAACCCAACTAGATCAGATTTAAGAACGCTAGTCAAAATTTCTTCACGAACAGGAAGAATTCTGTTTCATATTGTGTTATTAAATTTTAGTAATTTTTATCAAAATTTCTTTACAATTAAATATTAATAACATTGATAATACCTATAAATCTCACTGCTCGGAAATGTTGTATGTAAGAAATATCCAATCTTTACATTTAAATTTCTATTACTAATTTTTTCTCTTAATATGCCTGGCAGTAGCATAAGATGATGTTCATGTATCCATATTAAGTCGCCATCTTGAACTACGTCATTAATAACGTCTGCAAAAAATTCATTAACATTCTTATATGAATCCCAATCTTCTTGACAGAAAAACTTTTCACCAGGACGACAATAGTGAAATAGTGGCCATAGAGTTAAATTTGAAAAACTATCATGTCGTTCAATTAAAGAATTTTCGATAAAAACTGGATAATATGAGGATTCTTTTAGTTGTGTTGTAAGCTTATCTTTTTCTTCAGGTATGCTTCCACCTAATTGAAAAAAGAACAAATTAAATATTATTTTTCAAATGAACAAGCAAGTGAATAAATGATTTATTAAATTGCTTATAAGCATAATGCGATAAATGAGGCTAATTCTAACTTCTTTATGAGAAAATGTATAAAAGTGGGCATATATTTAAATATTATTCTAACAAACAAATATTAAGCTTATAAGAAATTCAACCGGTTGTTACATCGACTAGACATTGAAGTTCGAATTAAAGATGATCCGTATGGATCACAACCAAGTACCACTATAACGCTGACAGATATTTGAGAATTGAACATTCATGTCAAGTGATCAAATGCAACATGAAGTTGCCTCTTATATTCATTAATAAAAAAAATCTTGCAATTTGAAATAATACTATGTATAATATGGTTGGTAAATTGATATAGTCCGCAAAATCTGTCAATGTTTCTTAAGCATTCCACTAAGTCCACCAAAATTATATTTATACAACATAAAGAAAAAAGAATTGAATTTATACCAGGTCGTCCGAACCAAATAAATTTTCTTGACTTTGCAAATTCACTAAGTATGTCCACCAAGCCATTAGAAGACTTTTCAAGTTTATAACCACTAGTCGTTTTTACAATAGTACGTGGTAAAAAATGCGAAACAATTAAGAGTCTAGGCTCACCTTAATTAGAAGAAAAGTAAATTAGCAGAAATCTTAAAAAGCCTAGTTGTGAATAAATGCTATCAGTAATTTTAGATTCTTTACGTGTATTGTGTTGGCAGTCTTCGACTTCTGATATTAATTGAGGCTCCTTCGGTACTATTTCTGGACTGTTTATTATTAATTTACCAAATGTTTCTTTTGATAATTCATTAAGAGTGTGAGAAATTTCATCTAGTGTTGGACGATTAGTTGAATCGAGAGACCAGCATTTATTGAAGAGACTAACGTAATCCGAAGGGGTATTTGCGATAGGAGTTTCTTTTTTGCCTTTTAAAACTTCTAGCCATATAGCTTCTTGGCGAAGACGTTGAAATGGAGGAGCTCCACTTGTAAGTTCCCAGAACAATACACCTAAACTATAAATATCTGATTTTTGATCATGCTTATCTTTAACACCATTTAATAATTGCGGATCAATATACTGGATCACTCCTAGTACACTTGAACTTGTCGAGGTCGCAGTTTTATCCATTTGTTTCCCTACACCAAAATCTGCGATTAAGGCTTTATGGTTATTAATAAGGATGTTGTTGGAATGCTAAAGAATTTAAAATTATAATGATTAATTTAAATTGAGGAATATATATTCAGAAATTTGAAAAGAAAACTTACTAGATCTCGATGAATGATTAATTTGGAATGTAGATACTCTAATCCGTGCGTAATTTCTTTTGCGATTTGAATGAGTTCTGTCCATGAAATTTTGAAAACTCCATCCTCATGTTTTGTTTTTAAATAACTCCGTAGAGTTCCGCCATAGGCAAACTGCAACACCATAATAAAATTCTTCGTTATCCGTTCTAAAAATTTTATTAAATCGTGTTTAGGAAATGAGATTGAAGCTCATATGCAAAGAAGTATAATAATAATAATACTAATAAATTAACGTTGTGAAATTGTGACTGCACACTCAATTATTTGCAACAATAGAATCAAGCTTAGATGTTCAATTCAAATTGAATACATGCCGATTGACACTCCATGAAATTTGACGATGTTCGGATGATTAAGGTTGTAAAGAAGTTCAAGCTATATATAATTGTATAACCATTAATAGTTTTATATCAAAATCTTAACACAAAATGAGATATTGATGTATTGTATTACCTCACGTTTTGTCTCTTTAAATATTTTTTTGTCAATACTTAGGTTATTATTTAAACTTTTTAATGCATACTTTTCCCCCTCAAAAACTGCCGAAAAAACAACAGCTGATCCCCCACGTCCAACAAATTTTCTGTCTTTAAACTTTGAATAATTTAACCTTTTTATGCCCAGTTTCTTTACTAACTCCTCTGAATATAAAATTACTAAATACCATATACGTGTATTTATCTATGTTATTATAATATTATTTTAATTAAGAATTTATTCTGTTACATAGCTTACGTGCTCTTGACATGTCTTCTTCGTCTACGTCACTCGATGCTTTCTCGCTTGAAAAATTAAAGTAACTTAATAAATCAAAGTAACTTAATACGTTCCCCATAACTCGAATTAATTTATTATGTATATTTCTTGTAACTGTTATTTTCTAAACTTTGTCTTCGAATATATATGTTGTGTGGGAATGGAATTTCTTAGGATTTTAGGGTTAGAGTGTAGGTTTATATAAAATAAATTCTGCCCTAAGATTATAATTTATAAATTTCAAATTTACTTAAATTCCGTTTCCACTTACAATCAGTGAAGAACATCTAATGTTCTCAGTGTTCTCAAGAACATTCAAATATTTTTGAGAACACAATATTTAAAAATTATGTTCTTATTTGAGACATAAAATTTGTAAATAATATTATAAAAAGAATCTTTTAAGAACCCTTGAGAACATTGAAAATTTTTTTAAGAACCTAAAAATTAAAATTTATGTTCTCAGAGAACAAAAAAAAATTTTCAGAAATTCTTCACTGTTTACAATATATATTTATTTATGCGCGCAATAATGAGTAATAATGATTTTTGTGTTAAACATCAAATAGATCTGTTCATTTCTGTAACCAGTAACACAACATTTGTAGTTATTCGGTCGCTCGGAGCTCGGAATTTACTTATTTTCGCGAGTAACACAAATTAAAAAGGAAAATTTAATTTTATAAAGTGCGTAAAGATAGAGATTAAGGTTAGAACATTAGAACGTTAGCATTAGAGCTTATGGCGATATATTATCACACATTTACGTTCCGTAATTTTTTAGTACATAATGATCGATTCACCTTTTCTTTTTTTTCACCGGAAGTCAAAATTTGCGCCTCTGATCAGTAATTCTCTTTTAGAAGTTTGTATTACTCACAAAATAAGTAAACTAATCCCTTAATAGTAAATTTCACATCCACAATTCAGTCAGGAGTTTTTCAAAATTGTGTAACGCAGATCATTTCGATTTATGGTAAAAGATCTGCAATTAGAATATTCTTTTTCTAATTCTGTAGTACAAATTTTGGCCAAAT